ACTCAGGGACGATGACAGTGAGCCGTCTAATCACACTTTTATTTGATGGACGTAGTAGATCAAGCCGGACGAACTCTTGGTACGCGAACCGAGGGGACGCTTGGTAGCTGATGTGTCTAGCGGCCTCAAATGGTGGAGCACTAAATGTAAAGCTCGGAGCGGACGAGGTTGACACAGCAGCTGAGCTGGATAAGTAGAAAATTAGGGATTTTTTTTTTATTTTAATCCCATAACTTTGAAAAATCATAACTTTGTGTATAAAAATTGTAAAAATTAAATAAAAATACCCCTTGCTTAGTGAATAGAGGAGAATAATGTGAGCTAAAAATTAAAATTATTTGTTGACTCTTTGATTTTTAATTAATTAAATACTTCCTGAGATATTTTAAATTATTATGATTAAATTTTGCTCACCATAACTTCAAATTTTTAAGGTATGTTTCCAATGGCATGAGACATGTTCTTTGATTTTTCTAAGGTTAGAGAGCATCTCTGTGTTTCTAACCCTAATTTTCAAGCTTGGATGACTATTTTGGCTTAATTTAATTATACAAATTAAAATATTCCTCAAAAAACTATGAGGTCATTTTTTATAGGTTTCTTATGGTCAGAGAAGCTTAGGAAGAATATTGTGATGACTTGCATAATTTTTTTACATTTCTAGTTAATTAAATGTTTATGTTTTATATTAATTTATTTGAATTAAATATTAATCAAAATTTAAAGAAATCAATTTTACATTGTTAAGAGTAATCATGTTAAGTCAATGTAAAAATTTGAAATTTATTTGAGTAGGTTTAACCATTAAGATTAATTTTATAAGTAGAAAGAGCATTTTTGCACAAAAATATTATATTATAATAAATAACTGTAGTAAAATTATGAAAAGTAGTTTTTTGAGTTCCTTGTGATCAGGAGAAATTAGGAAAAATAAAAAATATTTTTGAGAAAATACTTCGTTTTTTAGCTACATTTTAAATTAAAAACAATTAAAAATAGTTAAAAATTCCAAAAATACATAAATATTTTGAAATGTTCCTAATAGTTTCCTGATCACTTGAGACTCATTAAAATAATTTTCCTCATTTTTATAAGTTAAAAAATAAATTTCTAAAGGGTTAAAATGTTTTTTCTTATTTTCCTATTAAAATAATTGTAAATAACAAACTAAAAATCATAAAAATACAAAATTTGATTCATTGGCACTTCTGAATTCTCTTTACTCAGAGAGGTCTAATAAAAAATAAAAAATAATTTAAAACATGTTTTGTATTTAATTAAATCATTAAAATCAATAAATATTTATAATTATTAAAAACTATTTTAAAAATCGTATAATTTTGTCTAAGTGTTCCTCTTGCCTAGGCAAACCTCTAATAATTTTTCTTATAAAAAAATAATATATATATAGTTAATTAAATAAATTAATTTTGAAAACCTTATTTTCCAAGATAAAAATAATCATTTAAATTGTGATTAAACTTTGAAAAATCACATTTTCTCCTCTGATGCTTTAATTAACTCATTAATGAGGCACCACAAAATTTCAAAGATGCTTGAGTTTTATTTGATAAATTATGACGTGGGAAGCCTAGGGGCAAAATGGTATCTTTGGAATTTAATATCCCAACCAAATTTTAGGATTAATCAAAGGGTAAATGTGAAATATTGATCATAATAAACTCTCCTAGAGGTTTGAAACACAATGGGTCAAACGATAGAAACTAACTTGTCATTTGTCCCACAACAAAGATACAAGTGCCACTTTGCCAATCATTACAACTTGGAAATCAATTCAATAGGATGATCCTAAAGTTAATGGGCTTGATGTTATAGAACGATTAATTCACTCATTTGAAGCCCATCAATTGATGATTAGGTGTTAAGCATGATATTAATGAAAATTGAAATCTCATTTCATTCTATATTTAATTATCTTAAATCTACTTTGAAAATTAAAATTGAGAAAGCCTAATAATGAGTTAGGTTTTGATATGTAGGAGTTCTTTAACTGGGATTAGAAAAGTTATACATCATAAATCAATCAATATTTTTCAAATGCCTTTAAAACCTACCTTAACTTGAGGCATTAAAGATCCTCAATTACCTTGAGTTTGTCCCATTGGGGCACCCTCTACCATTACTTTCAAATAAAATTTCGAATGATTGTGATTCTCTTATTCTTGAGACAATTGAAAGTCAGGGTTCACTGAGCAATAGGATAGCCTTAGCCTTAATTTTGGATGATTAATAGAACAATGTGAAAAGCTCAAAATGTTTCAAGAGAGTTTCAAAGTGGTCTATGGTCATTCCTGTGACATATTGAAATCTTTTAGATATTTTGAAGAACAAACTGAACTTACCATATCTTGTGCATAGCTTACTTAGTCCCATGCAAAATACATAAATATTGGAAGAGATTATCATTTCAGTTGGCATGTCGAGAAGATGACAGGTACACATTTATAGTTATTTAATTTCTGCAAAATACTATAAACTGCTTGGTTGAGTACTTTCAATTACCTGCAAAACAAAACCAGTTTTCAAAATTAATTAACATTACCAAAATCTAAAACAATTTGTTTCAAAGGCAACCATAAATCATTTGAAATATCACTAAATATAAAACGCTCTTTTAAATTTACATGAGTCCTTCAGACGAGGTAACCCATGGTTGCTAACGATATCTCCCTGGTTTAAATAAGTGTAATAACTTGTTTAATCTACATTCAAAAGAAAATAGTGGTACCAGAACGAGGGAACCGCGGGATCCTAACCTGTGTCGCTCTAATCAACTTTAACATCCCCCATGATATTTAAATAACTATAACCTTAGGAGACAATTAATTTGGAAGTTGACATATTAGAAAACTTGACCTCTAAACCTGATCCTTCTCACAATCTTTACAATTTGACACTTCTAAACTTAAACCTGCTACTTCTTCGAAGAGCTTGGAGCTAACTTCATGGGCATCAATCTACAACAGCATGACGTTCTACGACAACACAACCATTTCTTAAAATTAAACAACAAGCTGTAGGATTTCGAGGTTGTCCGCTGAGTGCGACATAAATCCTCAACTTTTCTTTAGGCCTTTGTATGGCTCTACTATACAATATAAGCCCTAACTCGCTTTAGGATTCCGAGGTTGTCGTTTGTTACGACCTAAACCCTCACATCTTCCAGGTTATTTGCGTGATTGTTTCACACGAATATAAGTCATAATTATTGAAATTGGCATAATGAAACATTTAAATATTTCTCCTCTAAATTGAAACCAAACCATAGGGTACTGTAGGAAGTTACCGAGGTTCTTCTCATGATCCGTGACATCCCCTAGTCTCTTTTCCATTGGATTCCAAAATAAAATGTTCCAAACTTGAGTTATTCTCATTTCACACATCTTTGTCCGACTTCGTTGAAAAGTCCTATTCCATTGAACTTCTTGAAGATAATATCTCCTGATTTTTATCAAGAGTTTTCTTAGGTGACTCCGGTTAGCTAAGATGTAATTAACTATAGGGGCATGCTATTATAGAAAACTTTTCCACACACGGCTTAATATAAACCCTATTTAATTTTTCATATTAAATAGAGGAACTTATCGGCTTATAATAAAATGATTTCGCAGACCAAACAGATGTCATATATTTCTTGGTTTATTTGATTGAGTCTCATTGCCAAGTCAAGTGTTTATTTTTCGAGATAGATACATAGTTTAAGGAGTGGTACTCTTTCATTTAAACTATGAAAGATATAAGATCGATTAGATTTCATATTTTTCTAAACTAAATATATATTTAAATTAAATGTATCTCCGAAACGGGAGACGGGATTCCGATTCCGGCGGCCGACAACTTCTAGTACCGACAATCAACCACAAAATAGTGTCGATAGGCACCGTAGGGGAGATGTAGCTAGGGGTGTAGCCTATTTTATAAGGGGAATTGATGTGTATTGACCATATGAATCATTCTAGTTGAATACACTTGACTTGAACTCATACTTATCGCATTATCTAAATGAGCCAGCTGAAGTCAACAAGAGAGTTTGGAGAATTGATCAAAATCAATTTTTTCCAATGTGCTTCCTTTATATATCATGGAAATATTGTAATCAAATCACAGGATTAACTCTAACCCACAATTTGAGCTTAAACAAGAGAGTTTTTTTAACTCTGCATAAAAATATATAAAATTTTAAGTACTGTAATATATAATTATATGATTATATATAATATCAACTAAACAATAACTCAACCGGTCCTTATTATTTCATGCTCACCAATAAATTACAAATATAAATAATAACTATTTTTATATAGAAAAATTAATCCTTAATAATAAATTTTTCAAAACTATTCAACAATACAACATCATTGATGAAGAATATATAATAGTTTTTTAATATTACTATATTTATTTCACAGTTACCAACATAAAATATTTATTTTGTGTTTATTTATTTATTTTATAGAACATGATAGGACCCGTCCGTGTAAAAAATAAGCAGCAGCATGCATTATTATTGGAAAAAAAATATTACATTAGGACTCCGCACATAGAGTTATGTGCGATGAAATCACGCCACACAACTGAAGGTGAGAAAAAAAAATTGGTTTGATAACACAAAAGAATATTCCTCACGTGTTATTTAGCTGTTATTGTGTGTTATTCAAGTATTATTGATGTGTTATTGTTATTATAATATCAGAAATATTCCCAGAACACAATAACACATGAATAACATATAATAACAACAGAATAATACGGGAGAATATTCTCCGGTGTTATGAAAATATTCATTGTGAGGTGATTTAGTTATCATTTATATGCGATTACTAAATATTGAACTGGCTGAGGATATTGCTGTAAATATACATTATAACGTGTAAGTCGGTAGGTTTCCCGAGCGCTGCTACCGATTTCATCGTGTTCCAAATTTAATTACCTTTTATCATTATAAAAAAGAAAATCAACTCTCAACAATATAATACACATAATCTGTTGCTCGTCTTCATCACCATCAGATTTTTTTTTAAAAAAAATTCAACCCTACCGTTCTTGCTTCAACCTCTCCTCCCCCGCTTCTCTCTTCTTCCTCTGAAAATAGACGTCAAAAACAGGATTAATTCGAGGAAGAACAAGACTGAGCTTTTCCTTGCCATCTCTTCATGTAAGCAAACCTTACTATTTTCTCTTTTATTACCATCTCTCTTTTCTTCTTGATTGGACACAGTTTGTTGTTTTGAGAAATCCCAAATTCCTCTTTTTCAAGGCAGTATCTGATTTAAATCCACCCCAAAATCACATCATTTTGCCTAATTTGGATCATTCTGCGCTTGAAAGGGAAACTAATAGAGCATTTGCTGCTGTATTTTCACCTGAGCTATCTTTTATAGTTTAAACCACTTTTCAATCCTTCCATCTCAGTTCTTAAATTTCTGCAACTGCATTTTCTCAAGAATGCAGTTTCATCTTCCTTTTGGTGGAGAAAGTCATGAGCTCGGCTAAATCCTAATTAAAACTAAAATATGTGAGCGAGGTCTCCCTTTTCACATTGCAAGCTGCCTAAACAATCCTTGACCGAGAGAATGTTTGGGTCACAAACTCAGAGCGAGATCTCTTATAGATTACCTTCCCTTATATATCAATGGAAAAACACCATGATCAACGCTAAAAGCTCTACCAAAACCTCACACAATAGCGGCAGTTCATGGAAGGCAGCCAGAGTCAATGTCAAATTCCAAGATCTTTATGATTTCACAGTAGAGGGTAACATTGATGATGTTAATGTACTGAATGAAGTGAGGGAGAGGGTGAGGCAGCAGGCAAAGGTGTGGTGGGCTCTTGAGGCCAGTAAGGGTGCAAATTGGTACTTGCAACCTCAGATATCTTCCAAAGGAGAGGGCATCAGCGTGGCTTCACTGAAGCTTTCAGTGCTTACAAACACAATTTCTCTAAGAAAGCTTATAAGGAAGGGTATTCCTCCGACTCTGAGACCTAAGGTGTGGCTCTCAGTTTCAGGTGCAGCAAAGAAAAGATCAACTGTGCCTGAGAGCTACTATGAAGATCTGATTTTGGCTACCCATGGAAAGGTTACACCTTCAACGAGACAGATTGATCATGTAAGTCTTTTGATTGATTGAATTTTTTATACACGGTAGTTGGAAGCCACTTGCTTGTGAGTTTGGTGGTAGTTTGAAAATTTCTTTTATGAAAAATTACAATTTTCTTTTAATATAGTTCGGTCTTTTGATGGTGTGGTTGATGTTGAATGAGTTAAATGTTGAGCTGTTCAACTTAGTTTATGGTTTTGCTTCATACCCTTTCTGATTGTGTAATTAAATAAAAACTCTTCTAATGTTAATAAATTTTTTGGTTTCTTGAAAAAATTGCTTATGTAGGCACAAAAAATAAAAAAATTATTCCTTGATGTTGTCAATGAGATAGGTAATTAATTAGTTGTTACAAAGTACTGGGAGACATGGCAGCTCTTCATGAAACTTTATGATGTAATCTGATATATTTATTGTTATTCTTATCTGTGTAAGTTATGGTTTAATGACATGCCGAATTCATTTCTGTAAATTGTTGCTTAAAATAGAAGGCCAAGTGCTTCAAATCAATTCTTCCTTGTCTTCTCCAATTTTATTTCTCTTCCGGCTCCTATTTGATGCTTTCACAACATGATTTCATGACCATCGGATATGAAAGCTATTTTAGTCCAGTGGAATAAAAATGAGTTACTGCTTATTTGACTTGCTGAAGCTGTCTAGTGTAGAGATCAAATTTGCATTGAAATATATGAAATATATTATAAAGTAATAAACAAGCTGTGCAGCAACATGTGGATTTAACAATCTTTCTTTATTCCGCTTCCACTTTTGAACTTACATGCTGTTTCCTTAGATGCATTTATCATTTCAGCACACATTCCTCTAGACGTATTTTGTGAATAACCTATTTTAAGCTGCAAAAAAGTTTGTCCAAATGGATGGACATGTGCCACCCCTTGTTAGAACCACGAGCGCCTGCCTTTTTTCTTTAGCTTGTGGATAAATTCTTTATATCCAACTCAATCTTCTTACATGCGGTGCAATTCAATTTATGATACAACATAAAGCATATTAAGTTTCTACATTGGCTTACAATTAAACTTACCCATTCCTTTGATTTTCTTATAAGTTCCTTTATTGCTTGCATATGCTCTAATTTTATTCTCAGAAATAAACAACACCATTTATACACATTTGGAAATTTTTGCAAGAAGGGCTTAAGAAAGAATAAGATCATGTGAGAAATTTAGCTTATGATCATTAGATATTTGTCATAGGAATGCTGGGTATATATAAGCACTTTGAACTATTAAGAAAATATTTTTGATGCCATTGAAATAATCTTTAAATCTCTTTTACCAAAAGAAGCTAGGGCGTGATGGCCGGAAAACTAATTGTTTCTTATGTTATGACCCTTCACAAGCTTTCCCGTTCCTGCTGGCACCTTGACGTGGTCATGTTGAAGCGGGTTTGATATCTTCTATAAGCATATGTGCAAGAAGCTATAGGCAATGACAATAATTGCAAATATGGTTGTTTTAATTAAATTAATGCAATATGGGTCCTTGATGTGTCATCAACAAATTTTTATGATCAGGCATGAATCTCGATGCATTTTTTTAAGAGATCTTTCAAATTCAAATTCGTGATAATCTAAGCTTCAATTTCATTGAATTTATAATCAAAATGAGCATCTCGGCAAGACAAACCCAAAGAATCTAAACCTGGTTCAATTTGGGTCTAATCAAACCCAACTCACGCCATTGAAGCACAATTGAATGTTTTAGAGCGTAAATTGAATGGTCAAACGAACTCTAAATTTAACATATTTAAAATCAAAATCAAGTTTCTCGATGAGAGAAATTAAAATGTGTCTAAGATCGCTCAATTTTGTGGTCATTAATGCACTCAAATCCTAAAAAAATCACCTATGATAAATGGAGGTTAGCATAGACTGACCGATCATGTGATTAGGG